GTTTTAAGAATTTAGACTTTTCTCAACAGGGAGACATGTCTGCTTCTGGCATACCAATCTACTTCAAGAGGATGATGGGCATTGAAGAAGCTCCTTATAGAGTTTGTTAGTCATTTGGGCAAGAAACTGTGCTTGCCTGTATTACTTGATGATATGCAGTATGAACTGAACATGCAGGACCCACAAAAACATGACTGCTGAAGTTGCCTAAAGAAAGAGAAACAGTCCTTCAGGGTTCCTACTTCATGAAAGAGTCTGCCAGACATTCTGCAGGACACAGAAGATACTATGGGGCTGTAGGCTATAGATGGATACCCCAACTTTGCAGAAGAACATTGGGTGACAGTCCAGGCAGCATGATGTCTCTGTCAATTTGAGAACTTTGGAAGTTGCTTACAATACACTTCCTGTTTACTTAGGTAATAATATATATCCTTCTGGGGCCTGTGAAGAATTGAAGACAGATAGTTATAGTTTTCCTTAGTTATGATAAAAGATAAATTAGATATGAAACTTTGGACTCACAAAGACAGGATAGATGATAAGAGTATTTTCCTTAATTTGCAAAATGTAAATGGACTAAATATTGTAACTATAATTCTTGTTTAATAACTGTTTTGTATATGTAATTTTACTATGTTAAAGTTAAAACCTTTCTTTTTATTCAGACAGAAAAGGAGAGATGATGTGGGATGCCCTTCTGTATATATGTTGCTTTTATTGGATAATGAATAAAACTGTTTTGGTCAATGGCTTAGCAGAGCAAAACCAGGTGTGAAATCCAAACAGAGATAGAGAAAGAGGGTAGGTGGATTTAGGAGGACGCCATGTAGCTGCCAAATGAGAAAGATGCCTTACAGAACCTTACTGGTAGGCCACAGCCTCATGGTGCTACACAGATTAATAGAAATGGGTTAATTTAAGATGTAAGAGTTAGTTAATAAGAAGCCAGAGCTAATAGGCCAAACAGTATTGCAATACAGTTTCTGTGTGATTATTTGGATCTGGGTGGCTGGGAAATGAACAAGCAGTTCATTTTCATCAAGTTCTCATAATTCAATTCCGAATTGAGGTAAGGAAGTAAGTAAAGTATAAACAACAATTTTTGTTGAGAGAAGGGGGCAGTGATGATCCAGCAAGACCAAGCCTGTTTGAAAATAATCACTAGAGAACAGCTAGATATGAGATATACAGAGTTTACATATAAAACTTCCACAATTGTAATGCTGACAGCTACACTGATTTAAATCTTCTAAAATACAAGATGTCAAGCCAGGCATTGTAATGTATACTTTTAATTCCAGTACTCAGGAGGTTGAGACAGGCAGAGCTCTGTGAGTTTAAAGTTAGCCTAGTTTAAATGGCAAGTTCTGGGACAGCCAGGTATATATAGACATGGTCTCAAAATGAAACAAAACAAAAGATGCCAAAATAGAAATATACACATGCAAGAAAGTTATTGGAGTAAATCATGTGAAAGAATATGCAGAGAGAGTTTTAAAACTGGGACAGCCATCATATCATGATGCAGAGCTAATTTCTGAAGAAGAAGATGTAAGCAAGGTCTTAGACTGCAATGCAGTTGTATAGTTTCAGCAAAATTGTTGGAGAATCTTCAAGCCAAAAATGGTCATTAGAAGAATCTAGGTCTCCATGGAATGGTCTTCATTAGTATTCTTGCCTTGCTCATTCAGTATTTGGGAGCCATCCATGGAAACGGTGGCTTTGGCAGGAAAATAATAATGGATTAAAGAATGCAGAAGTTGGGCACTTGGCCAGCTACACTCTTTTTGGTTGGACATTTTAGAGGCACTTTATGGTGGTTACCACAAGAACTAAATTCAACACTGGTTGCCAGAACACTATGGGCCAAAAACATCTTCAAGCTATATGAAGTCTAATAGGGTCATCTATCAGCCTCTGTTCTTGCCACTAATAAATGCTTCCCCATCAATGCACAAGCAGTAAGATTTAAGGTACAAAGTTAGAACACACACAAAATTAACTGATTTGGATTTTAAAATGCACTGCCATATTCCTTCCCTGAGCTGTTTCCCCAGTCCCAGACCTATCCCTGGTCACGCATACTGTGTACCAGCTCAGTCTGGTAAATGTCCCAGATTCCCACCCAAACTTTCTTCACACTCCCAAGCCTATATCAGATAGTACAGATTGTGCATTAGCTGAAGCAGATCAAACTGGGAGTCACATTTGCATGCTTTCTTCATTACCACTGAACTGAAATAACTCCTACAACACCAATAAACAATGAGTACCAAGTGGCCACAGGACTAATCTACTAACTCTTCATACTAGATTTTAAGTCATACAAGCTTGGGCAACAGCAAAAGCAAATCAAATTTCCATATAACAGAGTCAGTCTAGAATCTCACATCAGACCCATAATCAATGAAAGAAATCCACAAACCCAGATCAACATGTGTGCAAGCAAGCACACACATACTATAAAAGAACAAGATAGTATTCTCCTCCTTATATTCACCAGCCCTGTAGAAATATGACTCAATCACAGTTACCTAGGTCAGGTCCTCAACCTGTGGTTGCAACCTTTAGGGGTTGCAAATCAGATATTTTGCATATCAGATATTTATAATAACAGTTATGAAGTAGCAATGAAATAATTTTATGGTTGGAGGGTCACCAAAACAGGAGGAACTATTTTAAAGGGCCACGCCACAACATTAGAATGGTTGAGAACCACTGAACTAAATGAACACCAGGAAATGAAAAAAATCAGGATTTTAAAACTGCATTCAAAAAGAGACAGAAATGCTGAAGAAAATTCAAGCTGAAATGAAGATGAAGTTGAAAACATTAATAACCCAAGTAGAAAACTCAGAAGAATGCTTTGCAGGAATCAATCAAGTAGAAAATAGAATATACAGACTTGAAGATAAAGTAGAGGAATTAAACCACAAAGCAAATATGAAAAATAAAATACATAAAAGGAATTTTAAAAATCCTAATATTCATATGGAAGCAATAAAGGCCCCTGCATAGCCAAAGCAATTCTGAGCAAAAGGACCAATGTTGGACGGATTACCATACCATATTTTAAGCTATATACAGAGCTATAGTAATAAAGAAAAAAGCATTGTGATGGCAAAAAAACAGACATGTAGACCCACAGAACATAATAGAACACTCAAACATGAGTGAATGTAATTAGAATCCTCTGTTATGGCAAAGATGCTAAAAATATACACTGGAGGAAGGAAACACCATTTTCAACAAATGATATTGGGAAAATTGGATGTTCATATGTAGAAGAATGAAATTAAAGCCATGTCTACCATCCTGCATAAAATCAACTCCAAATGGATCAGAGACCTTAATGTGAAACCTGAAACACTATAACCAATAGAAGAAAACATAGGCAGTACCTTACAAGATAAATGTATAGTAAATAACTTTATTAAAAGAACTGTATTTTCTCAGGAATTAAAGTCAATAATTGAAAAATAAGACCTCATAAAACTAAAAACTTTATATCCTAAGAACTTGATTTCCTCCTATGCAGCTATGTTCATTATCACTCTATTTACAATAGTTAGGATATGGAAACTACATAAATGATCTTTAACTGATGAACAGATACTGAAAATGTGGTACATATACAGTGGAATCCTATTCAGCTGTAAAGAAAACTGAAATCATGAAAGACTCAGGAAAATAAACGGATCTGGAAAATATACTGAGGTAACCCCCACTCTGAAAGAGCAATGTCACATGTTCTCTCTTATTTGTGGATCCTTGTTCCAAATCTTTAGATTTGGATATATAACCTGAAGTAACTGAAGAAGCAAGAAAAGTAGAAAAGGAACATGGTGGGAGTAGGGGATAAGAGCTCTAGGTGTGGGGTATAATAGAATATTAGTTCTATGAAGAGGGAAAGGAGAAAACAGGGAGGGGCTTTAATTGTGGAGGAGTAAGGGTAATACAGAAAGAAAGGCAGGAAAGAGAGATAAATAACACTAAAGATGCTTGAAAAAACATATAAAACATTTTAAAAGTTTACTTAAACACAAACACACACAGTTTAAATAGAAATATGCCACATGGGATGATAATGCTCTCCCCAACAACCATTATTATGTAAAACAAACAACAAACAATAAAACAAAGAAGCCAGCCATGGAAAACTTCCCTTCAACTTTTTGGTAAGAGCAGATCTAAGAGACTAATAAAGTAACATAGACTCTTGATCACCTACCAGAACTTGAGTGTAAGATCCTATTGCTGAAGACACTGCATACTTTAGACACAAAATTTGCAGGGACAGAACTGGAAATGATATAGAAGCCTCCTCCCTGAGGACAAATTCTCATCGTATCAGAAGGTGCTATGCAAGCTGTCAAGGGAGAAAAAGGAATCAATAGCCCCACCTAGCTGTTAAGCCTGCAAACCAGGACAATGACCAGTTAGCATGGCATCCCCACTAGTGCAATAATGGCAATTATATTTCGAGGGTAACCAATAGACCTACTCAATAAGAGGAAAATTATGACTGGTATTGTAAAGCTAGTCAATTATCCATGGCTGGAGTGATCATAGACCCTGGAGAACCTACCACTGCCATTTTCCTAAATCACAATCTCTAACTGTATTCTAAATACTTATAGGTAAGTGGAGTTAGTTCTCACCCCAATCAAAGAAGCTTATTTTTGTAGCATACAAAAGTTTCTACAAAGATCTACAACTTGTCCAAATATAGAGAACAAATGAGTATGGGGTGTCCAACCCCAATTAATAAGTCTACAACACAACCCCTATACCTAAGATCCAGGGAATATCATAGGAGAAAAGGGTGGAAAGGGTGTAAGAGCCAGAGTACCAAGACATATGCTACAAAACAGTGTCATCTATGTATGATAGGGAAGCTATACCCATGAAATCTCAGATTATGGTCACCTAAACAAGATCAGCATGAAACAACAGCAGTTGACATACTAATGTGGACTGAGGAAATTTTCACTCACCCCCTAGATGCAGAGCTGTGTACAATCAATGGCTGTAGAGAGAGAGAGAAGGGGGAAGAGGGAGAGAGAGAGAAAGAGAATAAGTTTTCTCTAGTATTGCAATCTTGTTTTCTCCTAATAAGCAATCCCAAGTGATCAGTCCTAAATGATTGTACATATAAGTAATAATAACTAGACTCAGTAGGTTGTATACTTGTTCAAAGTAAATAAAACACAATGCCAAGGTTTCTCCGTAGCTTTTTGGTTCCTGTCCTGGAACTAGCTCTTGTAGACCAGCCTGGCCTCGAACTCACAGAGATCCACCTGCCTCTGCCAAACCCTGTCTCGAAAATTAAAAAAAAAACCACAATGCCAGAATAGAAAGGTAGTTTCATGGTATGGAGGAGAAAAATGACAATCCAAAAAGAAAAGAACCATGAGATAAAGCAAACTGTCTTCGAGCATTATAGGATAATATATAATGAAGTTTAAAAAAAACAGAAATTAATGATAACAACTGACAAAAGCAGAGCTCAGATCTTTTTGGCATTAACTGAATAAATACTACTACATATACTTTAATGATGAGAATTTACTATGAGAAAAGAGTACACACAATACACACACTAGGAAATCATAAGGGAACTATTTTGGGAGATGAAGGGTGCCAATGGAAAGGGGAAGGATGGTGGAAGGAAGAGAATGAACACAAACAAATTCTATATTATTTGCAATACTGTTTGGCTAATAACTTAGGCATATTTCTGGCTAACTCATACCTTAAATTAACCCATCTCTATTAATCTATGTATTGCCATGAGACTGTGGCTTACTAGGTAAATTCCAGCATCTGTCATGGCTTCTCTCTGACTCCACCTTCTTTCTTCCAGCATTCAGTTTACTTTTCCCCACCTAGCTCTGTTCTACCCTATCACAGGCCCAAAACAGCTTCTTTATTAACCAATGGTATTCACAGCATACAGAGGGTAATCCTACATCATAACAATATATTCTCTTTCCCATTGTAGTAGGAGGCCGCTTGTTTGGCCTGGCTGCCCAGAACCAAAATAACCACAAGAAACTATATTAATTAAAACACTGCTTGGCTTATTATCTCTGACTTCTTTTTGGTTAACTGTTACATCTTAATTTAACCCATTTCTAGCAATCTGTGCATCACCACTAGGTTGTCACCTACCAGCAAAGTTTCAGCACGTCTGCCTCTGGCAGTTCCATGGCTTCTCTCTCTCCACCTTCCTTCTCCTAGTATTCAGTCCAGTTTTTCCACACCTTCCTAAGTTCTGCCCTATAATCAGGCCAAGGCAGTTTCTTTATTCATTAACCAACAAAAGCAAAATATAGACAGAGGGACCTCCCACACCATCCCATTCGTTGAAAGATTTCCTCTTCCCCATAGCTCCTTAACTAGTTCATAATGAGAAAGGTAACACAGAATCAAAAAGACAAGCATATCATATTTTCCCTCAAATACGAATGTTCTCTTTAAAGATTTAGATATGTATGTTTTATTTAGAATACCTATAGATGATAGGTAATTGCCAAGTTTCTTACCAAGTATATTAGCCAGGGTTCTATAGAAGAATAGAACTGATAGAATGAATATTCACATATGGAGTTTAAATAAAGTTACCCTATAATGGGGGGCCAATCACAACTAGATACCAGACATTACCAAATAAAACCCCTACTACTGTAAAAGGAGACTGTTCGTTTGGTTCCTGGCTGCCCAGACCCAAATAATAACACAGAAATTATATCAAATACAACACTGTTTGGCCAATAATTTAGGCATAATTTTAGCTAATTCTTACATCTTAAATTAACCCATAATTCTAGTCTGTGTTAGCCATGTGGCTTGGTACCTTTTATCAGTGAGGTATCCTTATCTTGTTTCTTCTGAGTCTGGGTGACAACTGCAGACTGAGCCTTTCATCTTCCTAGAATTCTCCTTGCCTGGTCACCCCACTTATATTTTCTGCCTGACTATTGGCCAATTAGCATTTTTTTGCAGTTCTAACATTTATTTATTTATTTATTTATTTATTTAGTATACAGTGTTAGTTTCTAATATTTATTTATTTTATTTATTTTTTTGTCTTTTTTTAAATTTATTTATTTATTAAGGATTTCTGCCTCCTCCCCTCACCCGCTTCCCATTTCCCTCCCCCTCCCCCGATCAAGTCCCCCTCTCTCATCTGCTCGAAGAGCAATCAGGGTTCCCTGACCTGTGGGAAGCCCAAGGACCGCCCACCTTTATCCAGGTCTCATAAGGTGAGCATGCAAACTGCCTAGGCTCCCCCAAAGCCAGTACGTGCAGTAGGATCAAAAACCCACTGCGATTGTTCTTGAGTTCTCAGGATTCCTCATTGGCTCTAGCCATAAATAAAGGACATTGAGCTTATAATTCATGTTCCTAGAGAAGCTAAATAAGAAGGTGAATCCAAAGACAAACACATAGGCATCCTCATGAATATTAACCTTCATCAAGCGATGAAAGGAGACAGAGACAGAGACCCACATGGAAGCACCAGACAGAAATCTCAAGGTCAAATCAGGAGCAGAAGGAGATGGAGCACGAGCAAGGAACTCAGGACCGCGAGGGGTGCACCCACACACTGAGACAATGGGGTTGTTCTATCAGGAACTCACCAAGGTCAGCTGGCCTAGGTCTGAAAAAGCATGGGATAAATCCGGACTAGCTGAACATAGCGGACAATTAGCATTTTATTAAACCAATACAAGTGACAAATCTTTACAGGGTACAAGACCACTATCACACATACTACCAAGAATGAGTTACCTCCTTTTTTGCATTTCTTTTTTTATTTTATTTTATTACTTTAAAAAAATACCAATCCAAATTCCCACTCCCTCCCCTCATCCACCTCCCGTCCCACCCACTCCACATAGCCTCTCACCCCACCCCCTTCAATCCTAAGAGCATGCTCCAATACTGAGTGGACTTAAGAGTTACCTCTTTTATAATTGTTGGCCAACAAGGTCCCATAGATCCCCAAACATTATATGCAACCAATGCTACTGTAACCCCCATGCCCCAGACCTTGTCACTAAGACCAACTAAAGACACTTATTGACGATACCACATACCTAAGTTATAGAACATCAAGAACTCTAGCTGCTACCCAATTGGAAGCTTCATCCTTACTGTTTACTCTTTATAAAATTTCCATTCTTCAAAGATGATTCCAAACCTCACCTCGCATAAACAACACAGATATTTATATTTTCTGATGGTCAATGGTACACTTTAAAAAAAAGCATTTCATTTACTGTGTGTGTGTGTGTGTGTGTGTATGTGTGTGTGTGTGTGTGTGTGTGTGTGTCGGGGGTGCACATATGGAGGACAGAGGCCCTATTCACAATAGCCAGGAAAGGGAAACAATCTAAATACCTTTCAACAGACAAATGGACAATGCACACCTGAAAGCTCTAGAATGAAAAGAAATCACACACAAAAGGAATGGATGGCAAGAAATAAACTCAGGGCTGAAATCAATGAAATAGAAACAAAAAAAATACAAAAATTCAATAAACAAAGAGTTCTTTGAGAAAAATTAGTAGGATTGACAATCCATTATCCAAATTAACTAAAAGGCAAAGGGGAAATATCCAAATTAATAGAATTAGGAGTGAAAGTGAGACATACCAACAGACACCATGGAAAACCAAAGAATCATGGAGACATACTTTAAAAACCTGTACCTCATCAAACTGGAAAAATTTAAAAGAAATTGATAATTTTCTTGATAGGCTACTCTTACCAAAGTTAAATCAATATCAAATAAGCAATTTAGATAAAACTATATCCTAGTGAAACATACGTAGTTATTAAAAAGCCTCTTAACCAAAAAAAAGCCTAGTGCCAGATGGTTTTCATGCAGAATTCTATCAGACTTTCAAAGAAGAGTTAACATCAATACTCCTCAAAATGTTCCACAAAATAGAAACAGAAGGAACACTGCCCAGTTCATTTTATGAGGCCACAATTATTCTGATACCCAAATGAACAGAGAAAGAGCATTACAGCAAACAGACTTATACTTAACATCCTCTACAAAACTCAACTCCAAATGGATAAACACATAAACATAAAAACAGATACAATGAACCTGATAGAAAAATTAAGTGGAGAATATTCTCAAACTCATTGGCACAGGAAAAGATGTTTTGGACAGACCACTGTTAGAACAGGCATTAAGATCAACAATTACTAAATAGGACCTCATGAAACGAAGAAGCTTCTGCAGGGCAAAAAACACTGTCATTCCAACAAAGTGGCAGCCTACAGAATGGATAAAATTTTTACCATCTATACATCTGATAGAAGGCTAATATCCAAAATATATAAAGAACTCAAAAATTAGATAACAAGAAAACAAAAAAATCCAGCTAAAATGGGGTACACCTGTGGAAGAAGGTAAAGAGGAATTGTGTGGGAGCCAGAGGGATTGAGGACAGTGGGAGAGCCTGGCTAACAGAATCAACTAAGCAGGGTTCAGGGGGGCTCACACTGAAGTGGCAATTGCAGAGCCCGTGTAAGTCTATGCTAGGTCCTCTGCTTATATGTTATGGTTGTTGGCTTGGTTTCTTGGGATAACTCCTGACAGTCGAAGTGGGGGTATCTTAGACTTTTTTTGCCTGCTCCTGTAACCCTTTTCTCCTAGTGAGTTGCCTTGCCCAACCTTCATGTGAGGGGTTGTTCCTGATCTTATTGTCTCTTGCTATTCAGTGCGTGGTTGATGTCCCTAGAAGGGCTTTAATTTTTTTTTGGCGGGGGTTAATGAGGGGAATGAACCTGGTGGAGAGGGGAGGTGGAGGAACTGGAAGAAGTGGAAGTAGGGGAAGCTGCTGTTGGGATATACTGTATGAGAGAAGAATAAATAATAAAAAATGGGGTACAGATCTAAACAGAGAATTCTCAAAAGAGGAACTCAAATCGTTAAGAAACACTTAGAGAATGTTTGACATTCTTGGCCACTAGGGAAATGAAAAACAAAACTATGCTGAGATCTCATCTTACACAAGTCAACAGAATGGCCAAGGTCAATAAAACAAATTATAGCTCATACTGGTGAGGATGTGGAGTAAAGGGAACAGTCTTGCATTGTTGGTGGGGGTGCAAATTTGTACAGCCACTATGAAAATCAGTGCAATAGTTCCTCAGGAAGATAGGAATTGAACTACCTCAAGGACCCGCTATATCATTCTTGGACATAAACCCAAAGGATGCTCCATCCTACCACAAAGACTGTTGCTCAACCATGTTTATTTCTGTTCTATTCATAATAGCCAGAAACTAGAAACAACCTAGTTGTTTCCCAACAGAAGACTAGATTTAAAAATATGTGGCATATTTACACAATGGAGTATTGCTCAGCTGTTAAAAATAATGACATCATGAAATTCATAGGCAAATGGATGAACTAGAAAAAATCGGGAGTGAGGTAACCCTGACCCAGAAAGATACATATTGCATGTATGTATTTGAATGTGGATGTTAGCCACTAAGTAAATGATAACCAAGCTACAATCCATAGATCCAGTGAGGTTAGATATAGAGGAAGAAACTAGAGGGTACAGTACAGATAGGTCTTGTTAGAAAAGAAAAATAAAATAGACAATATGGTTGAGAGGTGGGGCTGGAACTGGAGGATCAAGGGGGCTAAGGGAGGTAATATGGGGAGAGATAACTAAAATTAAGTGATGGAAACTTCATACAGTAGAGACTTCCTAAAATATTTACATATATGAAAGTCATCTGAAGAAAGTTACCAGATAATGGGGAAACAAAGCTCCCAACTGGCCATCGCTTGTCACCAAATGAAGCACTGGGATTGGCTTACAACTAACTAAGTTGTTGGCCAAAGGGGTCTCTTTCAATCCCCAAACAACCCAGGCTGCTGCCAAGGTTATTTGTTGTTCTCCACAAAATGACAGCAAGACCCAATTGCTGAGGACAAAACCAACATAACTCATTGAACATAGAGAAGTTGAGCTGATGGCCTACATAGAGTCTTCACTCCTATGTTCTAGTAATTTTGGTACAGGAATGCACTTGCACATTACCAAAAGAGAAATATATTACCAATCCAGACACAAATACTTTGATACACAATGTTATCCTGCCTGAATGATATGCTAGGGCAATGGTGGCACAAAGCTTGTGGAAGTAACTAACCAATATCTGATTTAACTTAAGGCACATTCCACGAGATGGAACCCATAGCTGAGAGCTAGGGTAAAACCAAATACTACTGGTCTAAACAACAATGTAGTGACATCTAATGATATTCTGCTATACTCAGATCAGTGCCTTGTTCAGTCATCATTAAAGCTTCCTCTTTTGGCAGATGGAAACAAAGACAGAGACCCACAGTCAAGCAATATGCAGAGAATGAGAGACCTCAGAACACTCAGCCCTAAATGGGAAGTATCCATCAAATCCTTCCCCACAGGGTTCCTTAAAGAAGAGGTGGAAAGAGTGTAAGACCCAAGAGGATAGAGTAGGAATTGTTTCCTTTGTTGAGCAGAAGCTTTTTTTAGTATCATATAATTCTATTTGTCAATCCCTGGAATTATTCCCTGTGCTATTGGAGTCCTTTTCAGAAAGTCCTTACCTATACCTATATACCGATGTGTTTCCCTTTGTTTTATTTTCTAGCAATTTTTGAGCTTTATTTTAAGGTTTTTGGTTCACTTTGAATTGATTTGCATACAGGGGAGAAATATGTTTCATTTTTCTACATGTGGATAGTTTTTTCCAGTCAAAGAGGCTGTCTTTTCTTCAATATGTTTTGATTCCTTATGCAAAATTTAGATGTTTCTTTCTGGAGCCTTTATTGTATTCCATTTGTCTACATGTCTATTTGTATACTAGCTCACACTACAAGAAAAAAATGTAATTGTTTTTGAAAAGGAAAAATAATACAATTGAGAAGGGCAAAAATAATTCAAATTTCTCATACACAGATGGTGGTTAATGTGAATTTTCTGAATGTAAAAAATGTTGCAGCCCTTTCAGAAAAGTCTATTATTCTGAATGTAAAAAATGTTGCAGCCCTTTCAGAAAAGTCTGGCAAATTATACAAAGGAGTTTCAATATATAATTATACATGAATATACTGTGTTTTGATTACATTTTGCTGGCTTGAAATTTGGAGGGTAGAAGAGAAATGGAATGATTTTTAAAATATTCATGATGTGGAAGTGACAAAACTCTATACTGGCTAGAAACAGATGATGGAGAAGGGTGAGGATGCCTCATAACTGAGCATGTTTAAGGTCCAATTCCTGTCTCCCTCCTATGTTGCATTTCTATGTTCCTAAGGACAGTAAGTGGGTTGTCCTAGCACAGAGTAGGCATTCACTACTTAACGGAGTATGAGGAATACAGGAAAACAGATTAAAAGAGCAAAAATATGGCTAACAAAACAGTCACCAGTGGGTCCTTCCAAACAATCAAGCCTAAAGTCACCCTCAAGACCATTCAACAGATGTTCAGCACCACCCGCCTGAGACCATTCAAGAAGCCATTTGTCCACTTTTTTACTCAGAAGAATATCTCCCTTCTTTATCAGCCACTTCTTGCCTAGAACTCGCAGGTGTGGCACAGGCTGGGCTTTCCCATGATTCTCTCATTGCTTTCAGTCTTTGCATGGAACAATAGGAGCCTCAGTTTTAAAAGGCAGAAAACACAGCTGCTAGAAAAAGCTTAGACACTGAACGGATATTTTGCTGCCATTCTCAGAGTTGACAAACAGAGGCAGAGTAGTACTGACTCCTGAGACAGACACCAAGACAAGGAAGCTATCTATTTGTTCCAGTTTTTATTTCCAAGAAAGAAGTAGGAGGAACACACAGTAGAAGTCCTCAAACTCTACTAGAGCGAACATTCTGTTCATCACACTGCTTATGAGATAATGTATAACTTCTTTAATATTGTGGTAAATTATATTTTCTTTTCATGGTTGTTCTACAATAAGGACGACTTGGAAGACCCAATATTTGTCCAAAGAGTTCATATTACTTCTGTAACTTTGTAGTCACTTACCTAATGTAAAATGAACTGCTTTTAAGTTTTAACCAAAGTGTATCCTGCTAAAATGCAACAATAAAATAAGACCACTGTAGGATAATGGATTATTGAAGTGCTCCTAAATAGGAGAGTTCAGCATTTTTATTCAGTAATTAAATAGTGAAACTTAAAACTATTTTTTTCATGAAACTTACTGGTGGTATATTATGTTTATTCAGTACATAACATTTTGGACAATAATTTTGTTTAAATTTTTTACTAATAAAGTATTCATAAGAGCATTTTAGAGTTGATATTCAATTCGTGCACTAAATGAATATTTCCAATAGTTTAGAAAGGTTCTTCATAGTTTATTTCAGAACAGAAAGAAAGGTTTCTAGCCTACCTTCTCCCAAGACTTATTCTGCAACTACATTGACAGCCCTGATCTGGGTAAGAGGTGCACACTAAGGGTAAAATCTGGTCAGAGAACATTAGTGAAAATGAGAGAAAGACAGCAGCGCTGTAAATTCTTGCAAAAGCAAGTTTCCTCCCTCAGCTTCATGGCTGAGCAAAATGAGGCATGCTGAACTGTAGAGGCCAAATGAGTGGCGAATTCAGGGCTGGAAGGTCTAACCGACTTTGAAAACATGTATACTGGGTGTCATTCTCAAACGCAGCTTGCTTCAGCTGTTTCACAGTGTTAGGTAGGCCCAAAAATGCCCTATGCTGATCGCCAGGACTGTGTCGCAAAACTAGCACAAATCGTGAGAACAGCCTTGCAGTAAGGAAAGAAATGTTTTCCTCAGTCAGTGTAAGGTTAGTATTATCAGCCTGGGATGGGGTTTGGAGCCGCCACTGCCCACTGTGCCAGGCCCCAAAGCCCAAGATGAGGTGAACCCGTGGGTCCTGGCCACCTAAGACACCCCTTCCCAGACCCGAGCAGCGGCACCTACCTGTGCTGGAGGTTGCGACACAGAAGTTTGCGGAGACAAAATCAAGCAAAGAGTGGCTGAAGCGCAGCCTAGTCACTCCTTTTGCTTTTTACTACCCAGCCCCCAAGGCAGACTGACTCCCTTTCCCCCTCCCCCAGCCTGCTCTAGCCTTGCAGAGACTTTTAAGGCCCCGCCCCGCTCCTCTCCTTCCGGACTTGCAGGAGTGGGAGCCTCACGGGGGCGCCTTTAAAGACTAGATTCCAGAAAGATCAGTCAAGTGCTCTAGTTTCATTGAACAGGTTTGGAGGTATAATAAGAGAAAGATGGGTCCAGGATATTAAAATGCACGTAAAATTCTGGTTGCCTTCCTGCTATTTCTGTGCTCTTCTATAATCTGGTTATGCTAATATTAATAGTAGTTTATCGAGGTTTTGTAAGAACTAAATTTCTTACATTATCTTTCCATGTGTCTCATCCCTCACTACTGGATTTCCATACATTCGGAAGAGCATTTTGAATCAAAGGCCCAGTTACAGTGCTAATATAGTGAGATTTAGAAGAGGAATAAACCACAAGGAATGAGCAACCTTGTGTGAATGAAATTTAATAATAATGCATAATAAAAAAACTAAGAAATGAATCATGAAATAATATGTCATAAAGGTACAAAAATAGTTTGCCAATCCAACATCAACAGAAGAAGAAAACATTTTTATTATTACTGAGGCTTTCAATATTTCTCTATGGTTTATCCTGGAATTCTTTCTGTCTGCAGTTGTTTATTTGGAAAATTGATATTCTTTTTTTAAAATTCAATTGAGGTATTCCTCTGTGATTCTTGCACTGTTATTTTCTATGTAAATATATATTCTACTTTATCACTCAGTGATATGCTTCACATATCAATTATTCTGGACTATAATTTCTCTTTCTGCATATCTCTACTTTGCAGTGAACAAGCAGCATTTTGAACTTTTGTATTTTTCAAATACAAAAAAAAATTTTCAAACTTGATATTCAAGCATAAGATGTATTCTTTAATATCGGTTAAGAATTGCCTAAGGTCACTGAATATACACACTAAAGATTATACCCAAAATGTGAATTAATGCTAAGAATAACTAAATAAAATGAAAATCTAGATTTAATCTGACTGCTATTCATTCATGCAACGAATATGGATTCTTAATATATGTCAAACTCTGCAATGATCTCTGAGTACAAAATGATGATCAAAACTAGGACATAGTTCATGCCTTTGTAGTTTTAAGCTTAAAGAACAAATCAGTGGGGACCAGGCAAATAAGAAAAAGGAGAATATTCCAGATAGAAGAAAAGCATGATCTAATGTCTGGTAATATGAAGGAACCTGACAATAGTGAATGAGTTTCCAAGATGAGATTAAAACCTAAGTAAATCATATTCAATTGGAACTATAATAAAAAAACAAGTTAAACCTAAAAAGAGTTCTTTCATAAAAAAATATTTTCATTGGCTCTAGATACTTGACATCAGTCTGTAATAAACTATGCTAAGAGCTTCCAGAAAATAATACATGGACTCAAATATTGCTATTATAAACCTATGCCTTAGCAGCAGTGATGGTGGGTGCCTTTGGTACATGATGCTACCCAGAAACAGAACAAATAAGGGAGGAAAATTAGATACCCTAAATGCATCTATGTGGAACACACCTACAAATTTGGTCAAAAGGCTTTGCTTCTCTGAACCTCAATGTCCTATTTCATATGTGGGTATAATACTAGTATCTATCTCGTAAGATTATAATGATTAAATGAGACCATGCATATAAAGTTATGTCTGTCAAGCAGTGTTAGTATTATCTGTTGTTAAGATAGTAATCTTAAAATACAGTATATTTTAGTGGCTGAAATAGAGAAAGTATGAATAACCAGACAAGACAGAGTCCAAGTACAATTTGATCAATAGTAAATGGATAGTAGAAGAAAAGTTTCTTGTCAGGGGATATGGTGGCTGGCATATGCCTTTAATCCCAGCACTTGGAAGGTAAAGGCAGGAGGATCTCTGTAAAATTCAAGGCCATCCTGCTCTACATAGCAAGTTCTAGGACAGTCAGGGCTACATAGAAAGTCCCTGTCTCAAAAAGAAAGAAAGAGAAAAAGAAAGAAAGAAAGAAAGAAAGAAAGGAAGGAAGGAAAGCATTGAAATTATTTACTTGTTGACTTTCTTGATTATGTGTGTGTGTGTGTGTGTGTGTGTAACAACTTACATAGTGTATGAACTTACGTACTGTATGGCGCAGAACATATTTTAGGAATGAGTAAATATATGGATGGATTAAAACCTCAGAACAGCTAGGCATAATTTCACAGACTTGTAATCTCAGCACTAAAAAGACCCAGTCAGGAATATCATGAGTTTGAGATTAGTCACTTCTTCATAATGAGAATCTGTCTAAAACAAAAGGCCAAAATCCAAACAACCAAATAACCTAGGAACAATGTGTTAGGATACTAAATAGAAAAAAACAATCCCACAATGGTATTTTCTTCTGTTCCTAGAAAATGCTAAGCTTGTTTGTGTTCAACTTCCAAATTATAATATGCACATTCATTTATACCTGCCTTCATTGCTTATAATCCAAGCCAGGGCCTAAAATTATTTTTATGTAAAATCATACAGTGCATATTTTCAGCTATTTTTGAGACATATATAATCTGTCTGCAACTAAATCCTAATTTTATAAAGTAGCAGTAGCCACAGATCACAAAAATATACATAAATGAATGTGTGTGCAGGTGTTCTAGTAAAAATTTATTTACAGAAACAGGAGGCAAGATTTGTTCTGGTTCTGTGGATTATAATTTGCTTGTGGCATGGAGAGATGGCTCAGTACTTAAGAGTACTGGTTGGTCTTCCAGAGGTCCTGAGTTCAATTCCCAGCAATCACATGGTAGCTCACAACCATCTATAGTGGGATCTGACGCTCTCTTCTGGCATAAAGGCATACATGCAGATAGAGCACTCATATATAAAATAAATAAATAGATCTTTTTCTAAAAGATAAAAAGAATTTTCCAACTCCTGATCTAAGCGAACTTACGATCATGTCTTATATGGGCTACTGTAGTGAATGATGTATGGGAATCATTATCTGAAACCAATATTATTTCTGTCTTGACATCTTAGTTTTATTAACATTTTTATTGAAATTTCAATTGACTTTTTAATCTTACTCAGACCTTAAAAGTTCTTGAAAAGTTCAAGCTCAAGCTGTGCTAGTCAAAATGGTCCTTAAAACTGTTAAAAGGATTAGATAAATTTAGGCCCACTTATTTGATTGAAGAACAACTCATGAATCTGACAACTTTCTGTATCAGAAAAAGTTCAGAGAGCTCTACCCCCACCACATGGGCAATCAGTATTTATAAATAGAACATGGAAATGATGTACAAAATGATCATGTTTGGTTACAGCTTATGGTTCCTGTTGTTTAGGCATTGTCTGAGCAGTTCACAGCCTGTAGTTGTCTGAACCTCAGCTGGTATGACAAGAGTGAAATTACTACAGTTGTCTCCCTTTATCTTTAACAGATACATTTCAAGACCCCCCACAATGGATAGCAGACACCATGTATATAGTTCTTAACTATGTACATTCATAACTATAGATGTTTGCCACACTTATTATAAACAGCAACCAGAAGGGAAGAGTCTAAAGAAGGAAAGATTTATTTTGTCTAATGGTTTCAAAGTTTTCAGCCCATGTTTGGCTGCAGTGTTTTGGGCCTGAAACAAAGCAGAACATTATGGAAATGGGAGCATATTGGCAGAGGCCACTTATCTCCTACCTGATAATGGTCAGAAAGGAGAGAGAGAGACCAGACTGGGGCGAAGATGTGCCCTTCAAAGCAACACTCTCAGTGGCCCACTTCCTCCAACTAAGCACCATTTTGCAGTTTCTTGACTTCCCAATTAAATATCGTCTTCAAATTTTGAATCCTTGAAGCCATTGGTTAGGTCAGAACTTTCACAGATGATTCCAGAAAATTGTACAGCCTTTCCTACCCTCCAAGCACCTCTCAATCGAATAAAAGCAATAATTAGTAATAAAAAATATTGGTAAAATAGGACAATTAAAACAACATACAGAATTAAAATTATTTAAAACTTAAAAATCGCTCATTCCTAGAATTTTAAATGTAATTTTTGAGAACAGCTGACTGAAACTTGAAAGAAAGGAGAACTTTCGTATTATTAAAATAGGTTGCAGTATGTTCACATATTAAGTTAGATTATCATTTGCTACATATATAGACAATCTTAGACAAAATTTAGTTAAATTTAACACACATATCCTTTGGGTCAGCTTCTCAGTTTTAAGATTGATCAAAATCCTAGACACCAATGCCTTCCTTTCAACATCTTGACTTGTTTGGTCTTAGTATGGAACCCAAAAGTCACAATGTCAAAAAATTATTCATATTTTTGTTATTTTGTGATGAGATCATTAAATACACAAAGAATGATTGTAACATGATTGTTTCAAACTTTTGAGGCAAGACCCTGTACCAGGCAGACTATTGTGATAGCTCACAGTAGGATTTTACTAAGAAACTAAAAACTAAAATGTGCTCTTTAACAAGAGTTTCCATGAAATGAACTCATCAAAAGTAAAATAACAATAATTCAAAGTTCAGATAATAAAAATAGGTCAACAGTATTCATGTGTAGTTGTTTATGGTTTTTGTTCAGGTCATGGTGGCAATTAAGGTTCATTGTTCACTGTGATATGGCCTGACCTAAAGAAGTAGTCATTTCTGTTGTGCACAAAGCTGTGGTAGTATGTCATATCTGAAGATTCATAGAAAGGAACACAAAACTTGGAAATGTTGGAAATAGATACACTTGTCATTCACCACTCAAGATCCCAGTCAACCAGCTGCCAACTTCATATATATATGCATGCGTGTGTGTGTATTTATTTTTTGGTTATATTAGACAAACAGCAAAATTGAATATCCTTTTTTATAACACTTATTTATAGTGATAAATGAGGAGATAAGTTTAGTTCTGTTTAGTAGCACACATAAGAACCTAATACAGAAAAGAAAGATCTAAATCCATGTGGTATTTTATTCAATATTTTTGG